TGCTATCTAACAAAATGAAATTCAATAGTGAAAAAAGTAAGGTTCTACATTTAGGCAAGGAAAACAAAATGCACAGGTACAGTATATGTGGTACCTCGCTCAATAGTAGTAGCTGTGAGTGGGATCTTGGAGTTCTAGTGGACAATCACTTAAATATGAGCCAGCAGTGTGCTGCAGTGGCCAAAAAATCCAACACAGTTCTAGGCTGCATAAAGAGGGATAGAATCAAGATTATGTGAAGTGTTAATACCACTTTATAGTGCCTTGGTAAGGCCACACTTGGAATACTGCATCCAGTTTTGGTCACCACGATGTAAAAAAGATGTTGAGACTAGAAAAAGTGCAGAGAAGAACAACAAAGATGATTATGGGACTGGAGGATAAAACATAAAGAACGGTTGCTGGAATTGGGTATATCTAGTTTAATGAAAAGGTCTTGGGGTGACATGACAGCAGTGTTCCAATATCTCAGGGGTTGCCACAAAGAAGAGTGGGCCAATCTGTTCTCCAAAGCACTGAGGGCAGGACAAGAAACAATGGATAAAAACTAATCAAGGAGAGAAGCAACCTAGAACTAAGGAGAAATTTTCTGGCAGAACAATTAATCAGTGGAACAACTTGCTTCCAGAAATTGTGAATGCTCAAACATTGGAGGTTTTTAAGAAGAGATTGGACAACCATTTGTCTGGAATGGTATAGGGTTTCCTGCCTAAGCAGGGGGTTGGACTTGAACACCTCCAAAGTCCCTTCCAACTCTGTTATTCTATTCTAAGGAGGTTAATATAATTCTGGGGGGGGGAATGTTTATTGGCAATACCAATGTCAAATAATAAAACTATGTGTGGCTAAGACCCTGAGCTTGTCGATCAGAAGGTCGGCAGTTCAGCAGTTTGAATCCCTAGTGCCGTGTAATGGAGTGAGCTTCTGTTACTTGTCCCAGCTTCTGCCAACCTAGCAGTTTGAAAGCACGTAAAAATGCAAGTAGAAAAATAGGGACCATTTTGGTGGGAAGGTAATAGCACCTTCAGCATTTAGTCATGTCAGCCATATGACTACAGAGATGTCTTCGGACAGCGCTGGCTCTTCGGCTTAGAAACGGAGATGAGCACTGCCCCTAGAGCCGGAAATGAGAAGCACGCATGTGTGGGGGAACCTTTACCTTTTTATTCTCTTAACTCCTGGATGCACAAACACTGGAGTCAACTTGCCTATATAATAGAAACCAGAAGATGGAAAAATGCACTCCAGACAGCCAGGTCAGCCAAGTTAAGCTGTCAAGGTTCTGCTCAAGTGCCTGGAGGCTGTGTGATTTATTATAGATGAATTATAGAGGTTAACATTAAAATGAAATAGGTGTGCCATTCAGCTAGAGGACATGCAATATACAAGGATCTGACTTAGTACACTCAAGCAAAAGAGAACTTGAGGAGTAAGATGCACAAAATTCAATATCAGGGAACATAAAATTGCAGTGAAAATTTTATCAACAAATTTGGCATATCTCTACTTGGAAATCTTTGAAAGAGATAAGTGAGAATGAGAAGCAAAAATGTTATGAAATTGCAAAAGGAAAAAGATTGAAATGGCTTTCAAAATAAGAGAAGCATGGTTTAAAGAGCAACAAGAAAGACATACAGTAACCAAACACCAACTTCAAAAAAGGTAAAGAAATATCTCAGCGAAGAGTATCAAGATATGGAAGAAATCAAGGAGAAAGAAATGTTTGTATTGTAAGAAAATCAGCGAGACTACAGAAAAGCATAGCTAAAATAGGAAGACTGAAGAATAATCAGAGAAGATATATATGTGCATAGCAACCTACAGCTAGATTATGTTGGTGTATCCTTTAGAGATTCATTTTATATATTATAATATTACATTTTAACTGCCTGGCCTTTGAGTGTAATAATAATTGTTTCTTCTAGAGCAAAGTTCATCTGATACTGAATTTCTAGTTGGATTACACATGTTTAACAACTGTTTTGCATTATTTTATGGAGTGAAATTTTTTCACTTTCATTGCCTCTCATATCACTATGACTTGATTTTACTCATAAAATTTAGGCTTGATCTAAAACGATAATTATGTTAATATTTCATATATTGTTGAAATGGCTGTAATTCTTTTGTATCTTTTTCATTTTATGATATTTTATGTTGCTTTTTGATCAAAGGAACAGTTTTGTTTGAGAAAGCAACTGAAGTTAAAGGAAGATAGAAAAATTGTACTGAAATCCTAGACAAACAAAACTATAGAGTGAGAAACATTTGTAGAGAAAGAATATGTTCAGTAACTGACTGCCTTAGAAAATGAGATACAAGAGTTATCATTCTCAGCCCACACTACTCATAGTTTGTTGTTGGGATAAAGTAGTGGGAGCCCATATAAGCAATCCTGAGTTCCTGAAGAAAAGGCAGATAATATAAACATCACCATTGTGATTATTCAACTCTAAACAGGAAATGACAAGGTTCAGGTGAAATAGTAATTCAATTGTTTAATGCTGCAGGAGAAGAGGCAGTTAAAGTGCTACAATTCTATCACCTAATAGAAAACAAGATTGTTAGATCTGTCTTAGTGCAACTGCTGATAAGACATGACACTGCAAATTTGAAACACGTCTCTAAATTTGTCTGTTGCAGAATAAAACCTTAAAAGAAACTGACTTAGACTTACATACCCTAATTACCGTGTTTTCCCAAAAATACGACCTATCCGAAAACAAGCCCTAGTCCAATTTTCACACCTGCGCCTACTATAAGCCCTATCCCAAAAATAAGCCCTAGTTAAGCTCCACCCACTTGTACAAAGTGGGACAAGGCATATGCGTAAAAATCAAGCTAGGGTTGGGAGTGGAGCTGCCCCCCATACCTGTTTACCTTAGGACCACTGCAGCCAGGCCTCCCATGCCCCTATACCTGTTTTACCACTGCTTGACTTCTGTGACTGTTCATGGCTGGATGCCACTCATGGCAGGACACCACATGGTTCGTTGCACTACTGCCGCTGCTTGTGGCAGGATGCCACATGGCACATTGTGCCAGTGCCGCCACTCGCAGCATGATGCCATGTGGCACGTGCTGGTGCCAACCGCTAATGCACAACAGCACAACACACTATGCAGCTTCTTGTCGCAAGCTGCGTCACCGACGCTATGAGCTACACGATGTTTGGCCATGAGTGGCCGCAGAAGAAGTCAGGCAATGACATGACAGGTTCAGGACATGGGAGGCCTGGCTGCCATGGCCCTAAGGTAAGCAGGTAAGTCATCCCCTGAAAATAAGACCTGGTGCTTATTTTGGGGCCCAAAAGAAAATAAGACCGGGTCTTGTTTTTGGGGAAACATGGTACCGTATTTTCCGGCGTATAAGACTACTTTTTAACACATGAAAATCTTCTCAAAAGTTGGGGGTCGTCTTATACGCCGGGTTCATCTTATAAGCTGGTATACGGTGTGCTGAAACGATGACGGCGGGCAGTTCAGAGAACCGGTAGCAAAAATCACTGCCCCCGCCCCCCATGTCCAGCTGAGCTGCGTGATCATCAGAGCCTTTTTTTTCTTTTAAATGACTCTGACGAGCCAAGCTCTGATGATCCCAGCTGAGTTGCCTGCTAACTGATAGCAAAAATCCCCCCCCCCCCGCCGCCTCCAGCTTGCTTACCTTAGCTCTGGTCGCAACGCCTGCCTTGCTTCGCTTACTGTAATACCTGCAATCCATTGCATCAGCAAGCAACTGAATCTCTCTGCCTGCAATCAAGCTCATCGGTGAGCAGCTCTATCTGCCTGCCTGCCTTCCTACCTTGGCAACTTTAAGACTTGTGGACTTCAACTCCCAGCAAAGCTGGCTGAAGAATTCTGGGAGCTGAAGTCCACAAGTCTTAAAGTTGCCAAGGTTGGAGACCCCTGTTCTATTGGGTAAGTTTTTTTCCCCTTTGGGAGCTTTAAAAAAAATAATTAATTGGGGTTTTTTTTTAGTTGTTCTTTTTTTAGACCTAGCCATTTAAAGTTTAGGAAGTTTTAAATTTAGCTGCTTTTATATAAAAATAAAAATAAATTAAAATAATATTTGTTCAGCTTTCTGAGATTTAGTGTGTTTCTGTAGCGTTTCATTCTTAACTACACAAACACACAAAATCTCACAAAGCTTTATGTGGAATTATGTGTGTGTAAAGTGTGAAAGTTGGTTTTTTGGGCTTTTTGTGGCTGTGTGAGGTTCCTGCTTGTTGCAGGGGCCATTTTGGATCTAGCACAGCTGCTTTTACATTGTGGGTGAGCCAGTTGTGTTGTGTTGTGTTTTGTAGGTTAAAAAAGGGCAAAGAAGTGACATTGACTTGGCCATGCCAAGTCAATTATATTTTTATAAGTGACAGCTTTCCTACTAAGTACCTGCATGTCATAAGCATTTGAATTAAAATTACCATATTGAAATCAAATTTGATGTTTTTTAATTTTTATTTGGTGTGTGTTGGAAGACGGGTAGTCTTATAAGGAGAATATAGCCCGAACCCTATATTTTAACAGGAAAAGTAGGGGGTCGTCTTATATGCCCAGTCGTTTTATACGCCGGAAAATACGGTATTTTAAAACATAGACTTGTTTCCAAGCAATATTCAGGTAGCTGCAATCCTGTAAGGAAACAAGGAATATCCAAAAGACAATTTTCACCAAGTTGCAGTTCTTGGGATTCCACTGAAGAAATCCATCTACAAAACCTACCATGCATGCCTGTATATCTTGACTGGATCTTTTCGGCAAGACTGTATGGTTGTATTTCTTATTATGTAAATTAACAAAATGTAATTCCTGGCAGCACTGCATTCTAGCTAAGTAGCTGGATTATTTAAACATCTCTTTGTTAGTCTGCTTTTTGTTAGTACTTGATAATGAAGACTGCTTGGGCTACCAATGTTATTTATACTGCATCTTTAGACTTCTTGAGTTCTAATTACATTATTGCTAATGTGCCATTTCCCCTGTGTATCTCTTTTCTCATTGCAGCTTGAACTAAGTGAGAACAGAATTTCTGGAGGCCTTGATGTATTAGCAGAAAAACTTCCTAGCCTCACACATTTAAATCTCAGTGGAAATAAACTGAAGGATATTGATACTTTGGAACCATTGGTATGTCATTAAAAGTCTCAATGGGGTTAACAATACTAATACCAGTGATAGATGTTGAACTCACACTAAATGTGTCCAAATCATATGTGTTACATTTTATATGTAACTTTAAGTATTCCTCATTTCAGGAGCTAATATATTCCAAAGGTCTGTGCTTTCCTATAGGCATAAAAGGATGTCAGTTCATCTTAAATCCAAGAAAGCATTGAAATGTTTGTGTATGACAGTAACATTTCTTTGTCAATTGTTGGCATAATCTAAGTTAGGATTGATACTATATTTTTGTTCAAGATTATTATGTTTTCATGTCAATACATGTGGTTTCTTTCTGAGTAGATGACACTCTTTGTCTGGTAGATTTTAATTCTTAAATTGTTTTTCTACCTCACCAAAAATCAGAATATTAAAGCTGCTTAGGTTAGTTGTGAAGTCAGACAACAATTATTGTTAGAAATCATCCTAAAATATTAACTCGCATGGAGTAATGTTTTAAAACAGGAGGAAGTTATATTTATGCACAGTCTGCTTTTACTATTATCCAATGTAGAATATAAGAGTTCAGTGTAAGATAGAAAGAAGTGTCCTCATGGGCAAGGAAAGAAGGGACTCTTCATAAAAAAAAAAAAAAACGTATCAGGGAGATGGCATCACTTGATCTTGTTTTTCTTTTCACACAAAGACCAGAAAAGGATCTTTAAATGAACTGAAATAGCTTTAGATTAATTCACATTGAGTAAGGGTGGTTTCTTTAAAAATGTTTTATTAGTAAATGTGATAACTTCTTTCTGTTATGATATTGAGTAAGTGAGAATGTATATGATAAGTTCAAAATTCAAGTCTTGTTCTTTTCAGGGATGTTAGGTTAATTACATTATGAAATCAAATTTAATTTGGGAATGTCATGAAAGAATACACTGTATCAACTCAGTTCATGGCTTGTTTATCTTACTCTCCCTCCCAATCCAAACTGAAATTATGAGTATATCTTGCCAGGTTTGTGTATGATGTCAATATATTAATGATGCTTAAAACTAACAAAAGCATATTTTTAATTCAGAAAAAGTTGGACTCTCTGAAGAGCCTTGACCTGTTCAACTGTGAAGTAACAAATCTAAATGATTACCGAGAGTGCATCTTCACACTTCTTCCACAGCTCACATATCTAGATGGATTTGATCAGGAAGATAACGAGGCTTCTGATTCAGATGCTGAAGTAGATGGTTTTGATGAGGAAGATGAGGAAGGTGAGTTCAATCATATTAATTGTAGATTGGAAAGTTAATTCTTGGCTATGATCAAGGCCTAATGTAAACATGACATTTGAGTCATTTGGAGCACTGCATTAAACTAATTTACCAAATTTGAAATTTGAAATATTCTCTGCACCATATAGTGGCTATAAAAAGTCTACAAAACTTGAAATACCATATTTTTAAATGTAAAAAAATCAGACCAAGATAAATCACTTCGGAATTTTTCCACCTTTAATATAACACATGAGCTGTAAAATTCAACTAAAAAACAAACTGAAATCTTTTAGGAGAGAAAACAACAATAGAAATATACAATTAACGTGGTTGCATAACTCTACACCCTTAAAATGATACTTCGTTAAAGCACCTTTTGATTTTATGACAGCGTCCAGTCTTTTGGGGTAGCAGCCTATCAGCATGGCATATCTTGCCTTGTGAATCTTTGCCTACTCTTCCTTTCAGAAATGCTCCAAATTTGTCAGATTATGAGGGACTCTCTTGTGTGCAGCCCTATTCAAGTCTCCCCACAGATTTTCATTTGGATTCAGGTATGGGCTCTGAATGGGCCATTCCAAAATTCTGATCTAGTGAAGCCATTCTTTTGTTGATTGGATGTATGCTTTGAGTCGTGTTGAAAGGTGAAATCCCTCTTCATCTTCAGCTGAGGCCTAAAGATTTTGTGCCAAAATTGTCTGATATTTGGAGCTGTTCATAATTCCTTCCATCTTGATTAAAGCCCCAGTTCCAACTGAAGAAAAGCAGCCCAAAGCATAATGCTACCATCACTATGCTTCACTGTTAATATGATGTATTTTTGGTGATGCATGTATTGTTGTTTTGCCAAACATACTTTTTGGAATTATGGCCAAAAGTTCAACCTTGATCTCATCAGATTATAACACATTTTCCCATATGCTTTTGTCAGACTGGATGTAGATTTTTGCAAAATGTTCCATGGTTCCATGATTTATTTTGGTCTGATTTTTTTACATTTCAAAAACCTGGCATTTTAACAAGGGTATGTAGATTTTTGTATCCAATGTATTTGAATCAAAAGTACTTATGTCAACTGAGAAAGATCAGTTTTGAAGCATAGAATAATTATTATGGTTTGTATGATATATCACAAAATACACCAATTTACAAGAAGAAAAACTGAAATGTGATGTTCCCCTTTATCGCTTTTACCTAATTGTATGGTTGTAAACTTAATTTACTGATTTCTCAATAGGTGGGCAAAGGATTGTTTAGATAAAATTACCATTGGGGACATGGAGCCTGGTTAGTGCCTAGTGAGATTTTTAGGGATACATCGACAGTCAAAGGGATAGCACTGGGGATCCAGATCCTAATCAGTGGGGCAAAAAAGTATTTAGTCAGCCACCAATTGTGCAAGTTCTCCCACTTAAAAGATGAGAGAGGCCTGTAATTGACATCATAGGTAGACCTCAACTATGAGAAACAAAATGAGAAAACAAATCCAGACAATCACATTGTCTGATTTGGAAAGAATTTATTTGCAAATTATGGTGGAAAATAAGTCACCTACAAACAAGCAAGATTTCTGGCTCTCACAGACCTGTAACTTCTTTAAGAGGCTCCTCTGTCCTCCACTCATTACCTGTATTAATGGCACCTGTTTGAACTTGTTATTAGTATAAAAGACACCTGTCCACAACCTCAAACAGTCACACTCCAAACTCCACTATGGTGAAGACCAAAGAGCTGTCGAAGGACACCAGAAACAAAATTGTAGACCTGCACCAAGCTGGGAAGACTGAATCTGCAATAGGCAAGCAGCTTGGTGTGAAGAAATCAACTGTGGGAGCAATAATTAGAAAATGGAAGACATACAAGACCACTGATAATCTCCACTAATCTGGGGCTCCACACAAGATCTCACCCCATGGGGTCAAAATGATCACAAGAACGGTGAGGAAAAATCCCAGAACCACACGGGGGGACCTAGTGAATGACCTGCAGAGAGCTGGGACCAACGTAACAAAGGCTACCATCAGTAACACACTACGCCGCCAGGGACTCAGATCCTGCAGTGCCAGACGTGTCCCCCTGCGCCAGTACATGTCCGGGCCCGTCTGCAGTTTGCTAGAGAGCATTTGGATGATCCAGAAGAGGATTGGAAGAATGTCATATGGTCAGATGAAACCAAAGTTGAACTGTTTGGTAGAAACACAACTCGTCGTGTTTGGAGGAGAGAGAATGCTGAGTTGCATCCAAAGAACACCATACCTACTGTGAAGCATGGGGGTGGCAACATCATGCTTTGGGGCTGTTTCTCTGCAAAGGGACCAGGACGACTGATCCGTGTACAGGAAAGAATGAATGGGGCCATGTATCGTGAGATTTTGAGTGCAAACCTCCTTCCATCAGCAAGGGCATTGAAGATGAAACGTGGCTTCGTAAGAAGCATTTCAAGGTCCTGGAGTGGCCTAGCCAGTCTCCAGATCTCAACCCCATAGAAAACCTTTGGAGGGAGTTGAAAGTCCGTGTTGGCCAGCGACAGCCCCAAAACATCACTGCTCTAGAGAAGATCTGCATGGAGGAATGGGCCAACATACCAGCAACAGTGTGTGCCAACCTTGTGAAGACTTACAGAAAACGTTTGATCTCTGTCATTGCCAACAAAGGATATATAACAAAGTATTGAGATGAACTTTTAATATTGACCAAATACTTATTTTCCACCATAATTTGCAAATAAATTATTTCCAAATCAGACAATGTGATTGTCTGGATTTGTTTTCTCATTTTGTCTCTCATAGTTGAGGTCTACCTATGATGTCAATTACAGGCCTCTCTCATCTTTTTAAGTGGGAGAACTTGCACAATTGGTGGCTGACTAAATACTTTTTTGCCCCACTGTATATTAAGGAATCTGTACTAATATGGCAAACTGTTGTAATAGATTGCAAATTATTAGCTCATCTTCTTTTAGACTGACATTTTAAACTCATACTGCCTTTCATACTGCTTCATTTATAAATTGCAAGTCTGGATATAATTTATGAAACATTGGTCGATATCAGTATATGCTCTCTTTAGCAGTTGTTCATAGGATAATATATTACTGTGATTTTATGACAGCTTCCCTATTTGATATATATAAAACTCTTCTTTCTCAGATGATGATGATGATGACGACGATGACATATATGAGGATGAGGATGAAGACGAGTATGACGGATGGCAGTCATTTTGTTCTGATTTGTTTGAGTATGAAGGAAGACAAGATGAAGAAGATGAAATTAGTGGAGAGGTTGGTTTAAAATATTGTTTTCTCTTTACTCTAGTAAATTTGTTATGCTTATTTATCAAATTACAAGAGTAGCTATTCTTATTACTACTAGTATTATTACAAGCATAGCATCGCGCCCCAAATGATTCTGAGCCGCTTACAACAATCAAACAGAAATTACAATAAAATCAGTGAAACATAGAAGTTAGATGGCAAGTGTTTCCCTTACCAAATGCCTGGATGAAGAGCCACATCTTCACAGCTCTTCTAAAACAGGGGTGTCAAACTCAAGGTGCTTAGACCTGGCCCGCAGGGCCACCCTGGAAACAAGCAAAGGACCGGTCCGTCATGCCTTTGCCAGCGAAAAGGGGAGGGCTGCACATGGCCCCCTCAAGCTCCATTTTTGCTGGTAAAGGGTTAGCAAAATAAAACAAAAGGAGAAATGTTTCCCCTTTTGCATTTGAGCATGCAAGAAGGGACAGGAAAGGAAAAAAGGGAAAGAGGAAAGATAAAAAGAAGGAAAGATGGGAAGAGAGCAAGGAAGGAAGGAAAAAGAAGGAAAGAGGGGAAGGAAGAAGGAAGAAGGAAGGAAGGAAAGTGAAGGTCTAAGGGAAGTTTTGCCTTAGCATTTGGCCACCACAGGTGCCCCTGATGAGTGATGTCAAGCTGGCCATGTCCCCCTACCCCCTGTAAGGTCAAACACAAACCTCATGCGGCCCTCAATGAAATCGAATTTGACACCCCTGTTCTAAAACAACAGTAGAGTGGGGATCATCTGTATTTTGAGTGGAACCTTGTTATAGGGGACAAGCACTGCTATAGAAGGTGCTCTTCTGAGGTCCCAATAGGTGGATCAGTGGAACCTGGAGAATGCTCACCTGGAGGATCAAATCAGCCAGGCAGATGCTACGGGAGTCAGGTAGGCCTTCAAGTAACCAGATCTACGCCATGTAGAGCTTTATAGGGTTTTTTATAGAGAGAGAGAGCCAATACCTTGAATCGTGACCAGAGGCAAACTAGCAACCAGTGCAGCTCACAAAACAGATGTGTTAATATTGGCATCCCAATACTTGCCCTGTACTGCTCACACTGGATTCTGGACCAGATCAAGCTTATTAGTAGTCTTCAAGGGCAGTCCCATATAATGTGTTACATTAGTAAAATATTTGTTGCACGAGTCAAACGCAAGGTGACGTGGCCCTAGGTGACTTATCTGAAGGGCTCCCTGATCTAGGAAAAATAGCAACTGGTACCCCTGATGCGTTTATGTAAAGCCTTTATGATCACAGCTGCCACTTGCTCTTCAGGCAGGTGCTGCAAGTACAGGAAGGCACCCAGATTGTGCACCAACTTCAAGGGGAAGTTCTACCCTGTCCAAAATTAGAGAAGGAATATTTCCAGATCTGGTTGGTTCAAATACCTACTACAGCCACTCAGTCTTGGTAAGATTGAGTCATGGCAGACATGGTTCCTCCCCTTCCGAACACAAAACAGCTTCCAGTCACTGGAACAGAACTTTGACAGCTTTACTTGGCTGGTCTGGGGTCAAAAGATATACAGGTAGTCCTCGATGTACGATCACAATTGAGCCCAAAATTTCTGTTGTTAAGTGAGACAAGTTAATTTTTCCCCACAGTTGTTCAGTGAATCACTGCAGTTGTTAAATTATTAATAGTTGTTGCTTCCCCATTGACTTTGCTTATCAGGTTACAGAAATGATCACATGACAGGACATTGCAATTGTCATAAATATGAATCAGTTACCAAGTATCCAAATTTTGATCACATGATTTTGGGGAAGCTGCAACAGTCGTTAAGTGTGAAAAATGGTAATGTCACCTTTTTTCAGTACCATTGTAACTTCGAATGGTCACTAAATTAACTGTTGTAAATTGAGGACTATCTGTAATAGGGTATCATCAGTATAACGATACTGAAATCAACCAAATCCCCCCCCCCCGGGTTCATGTAAATAAGGAACAAACTGATACCTGAGCAGCTGAAAAAATGAACCTTGGTTTTTTTCTGTTTATGTTCTCATTGGTTGCTACTAACATGGTAGCAAACAATTGAAGGCTGGATTACAATACATTAACATCAGTGTTTTTCTAAAAAGTTTTGCCCACTGATCAGAAAATGGGAAGCAGATATGATAACAGGAGCAAAGGTATTTACTATCTAAGGTAAACCTATTATTGTTTTTAGGAGGAAAAGGTTGCCCATGACAGTGAAGAAGATGAAGATGATGATGATGACGATGATGACGATGAAAAGGAAGAAGGTATGTGTAAATTTTTATGCCAGTCTTTTTTACTTTCAGGAACATAAAATAAAAGCACTGGTAAAAGTACCAGTGAAATAACAATGCAAGTTTGGAAGATGATAATAATGATGATTTATTGGCCATTCAATACTGGAATGCACCCCATTTCCATTTGTTTGCCGACCATTATGAAGGCTTTGGAAAAAAATAGACCTACACTCGGTCCTCAAAATTCTGGCTGTTGCAACATCTCTGTGGTCATGATTGTGATTTGGCTGCCCAGCTTGCGATGGCAATGTTGTAGTGAGCTGGGTCACCTGATTGCCATTGTCATTGCGACCATCCCTGCTGGATTCCAGAAGCAGTCATTCCTAGCACAACTGTATAAAACGATGTGTACCATTAGCTGCTTTTCTATACCTAGAGATGATAAAAAAATACTTTCAGGTATTTTTAATTAAAACGGTTACTACATCCAGTCAGCATGGTCAATAGTAAACGATTCTGGGAGGTTTCTAAAACCTTTTCCTTTATGGAGCCTGTAATAAGCTTGTTGGATAATTCAACTGAATGTATTGTATGTTTTTGGAATAGTCATTATAGAATAATTTCTCTATTCTGCAGATGAAGAAGAGAGTAAGAAAGGTGAAAAGCGTAAAAGAGAAACAGATGATGAAGGGGAGGAAGATGATGATTAAAGTCTTCTGTGTCTCCAAAGGACTGTTCAGTATTTCTTGGGGTACCCCTTGGATGATCTGTGACTTGAGGAGCACGTGTGACGCACCTGTAGTTCTCCCCCTCCAAGCGCAGCACTCAAAAAAGCCAAAGAGTCGGCTATTCCTGTGACATTCCATTGTACCCTGCAGCTGATTTCTCCAGGTGGTTACAGACCTAGCCTTCTTGGGCTAGCACCTTCACTTATCCTCTTGGGAGTTCCCAGGCCTTCATCTCTTCCCATTGCCCTAGCAAGAACAAGTGTGATGGGCCAGTCCTGGCTATAGGGGCTCCACACCACCCACTGACTATACTTCCCTTTTTAATCTCTGTGCAACAAAGCTTTGTAAATAGAGTCCTGAAGTTTTGGGGACTGCTCTTCATGCTTTGCTTTCCCTGCCTTCTTTTTCCTTTTCTAAGCCGTTGGATATTTTTTACATTAGGATGTTTTATGCAACAACAGAAAAAAGTATTTTTAAGAACTTGAATTAAATAAACGTTATTTGATAAACTATAATCTTGCAGTTATTATATTCAGAGAGATTTGAAAATGTGCCTTTTTTTTTGCTTAAACTTTAGTAGACAGGATTGTGAATATTCTGCATTTGTGAAATAAAACAGAATCTAGATTCTTTGATCTATGAAGGTTGTTTAGGTTAGGTAATTTATTTTGCTATGCAAGTAAATAACCAGGAAGCCCTGCTTCATCTTTCTCTCCAGCTTCACAGATTGCTTTATTACTAGTACAATTCACAATGTAAGTAAATTTTAAAAACTTTTGACTTTTGAAGTTGATGTGCTTCTGGGTTGTAAATGACTACTATCAGGCTTGGAAAATTTTAGCTGTTCACAGAGGTTTTTATCTAGATGTTTTACTTATTAAGATATTATTGTTTGTAGCCAATGACGTATTTTTAGCTACTTTGCATAAGTATTTCAAATAGCAGAATACCTTTTCCATTATCACCTTTCTTCAGCATATCCCAATAAAGGCCATCTCCATCACTATACTTGCAGTGGTCATAAAAGCTTATTTTTCAAAGCCATACTAACATTATAATCCTATGCATATAGGATAATAGTAGCTGTTATTGTGCCCAGAGGAATTAGCTGCCATATGTAAAGGTTTCTGGCTTAATGTCGATAGAAATAATATACTCAGTAGTAGCACTTGGTTCGTAATGTTCTGATCAAAAGGTGAATTTTGGAATCTATTTAAATGAAATATCAGAGGATGTATTTCTAAAATTTCTTAAATAGTTTTTTGCAATCCTGCCAATCAGCAATTTTGTTGTAAGGGAAGGTTCTAATTTCAGCCTTACTAAAAAGCCATTTGATTGAATTTCAGCTTTAAGGGAAAAAGAGACATATTGGTACAAGGATTAAAACTATTGAGGCATCACTTATGGCATGTGTGATTAAACAATAGTAAAATGTTCTTGTACACTAGTAATTTGGATTTACCATAGTTACATGGTTGGTATAAGTATTAAAAATGCTTAGCTTTTCCAAGATCATTCCTTGTATTTATTAAGTACAAGCCTTGTCATTCTTTCATATGGGGATATGTCCCCAATGGCATTTCAGTTTCCTGGCTTTTAAATCACTGTAATAGAAAAAAATACCACCACCCATATATCTTTAAATATATTTAGGCGCTATTTAATAAAGCATAATCAGTTTGTCATCACTGTATATAGATTTTTCTTTTTTCCCTCTCTGCCTCAGAAAGCATACATGACTAAAATTTTGGTCTGCATGTACTATTTCAAAAGTGTTTTTAAAAACAAGAGTAATTTTTAAAAATAACTTTCAAGTGCTAATTTGTTTTATACAAGTTTCTTGGTAAACAGAACAAAAAGCAGTATGTGTGTGTGTGTGTGTATATATATATACACACACATACACACACACACACACACACACACATATACATTTTTCAAGTAAATTTGGGATATTTCAATCCCTTTGATAAATGGCTAACATTGATCAAAGCAATAACATAAAAATATGCAAAAAAAATAATAATCAAAAAGCACACTTTAGAAGTGCATTTTAAACACTCTCCCTTTATCTTAAGATGACAAATACTTTAAATAATTTATTTGCCTGTAAACAAGATAAAAGAGACAAATTCCCAAATTGCAAGCGATCGTCCTTAATCCAAGGATGTATTTTACCCTTTTGTTTCCCTAACTGGCAGCATTTCTACTTTTGCAACAAAATGTTGCATCTGTAGTTTCCAAAACATCTCTCTATCGGCTCATAATGTATTAATAACAAAATATGGACTCGTACCAATTAGTTGTTCAATCTACATTCAGTCCTATTTTCCAAAAATACAAAGCAGGGGTATATTTTACCATATATCCAAGATTAGCTACAGAAAATAGTAATTCTATTATTGTCAGCCCTACAGGGTAGCCCAAATCAGGAAACTGACCTCACAGGAAGACTGCAGCTATACTCTTTGTGATTAGCCTATAGTAGTAGAATCTTGCAATTCTGATTGTGTTTTACTTCCCCATGTTTTATCCCTCTTTGCTTAGATAACGGTTCTTGCCTCTTTTCCCCAAAATCATCTCTCTGACTCTACAATTACTGTATGCTCCAAGTTTTAATTTCAAGACATGTTATAATTCATCTGGCTAATCTCCTAAATAATTGGAATTGTTTTAATGTCTTGATCACAACTGTAACATGTGCAAATATACCAGTTGTTTTAAAGGGTACTAATTAAAATCCCATGAGCACTTAATATCAATTACTGGGATTATTAGAGAGGCCAATTCATTTTATATGCATAAAGCTTGGTATATATACAAGTTCCATTATGTCTTTTGTACCATTGTGAATACATCTTTAAAAGCATATTTAAGCAAAGCTAATTGTAACACTGGGTTATAGCATCTGAAATCTCGGATCTACAGCTCTAAATTTTCTTCCCAGTACATATTAACTTTAACCCAAAATCGTGACTGGGGTGTTCATTAAATCCAAACTGACATAAATTATCTTATGCAAATGATGTAAAATACTTATATCACTACCTATGTCAGTAGTCTCAACAGCCTACAGGAATAATGGATTTGTCCATTCTTTCATGATTGAAATCCAAACACAAATTTGGTCTGTTGCATCCAAAATCCGTTAAATGACAGTTTGTTAAATTGGACAAAGAAAAAGCTGAGCCAGAATGTAACTGTTTGTATATAGGGAAGTCATTTTTGCAGTTGAATTGAACTGAGAGTCACCCCTATCCAGCCACGTGAGATCTGAATAGTACAATCCAGAAAAGAAATGCAGCTTCTGCTATAAAGGTATTCTTCCACTTACAACCACAATAGAGCCCAAAATTTCTTATGATCTTGTCACAGTGGTTCACTGTGACAGCACAGACACTGCAGTTAAGTTAGTAACAAGGTTGTTAAGTGAAATTGGCTTCCCCTTTGAGTCAGAAGATTGCAAAAGGTGACCACATGACACCGGGACATTGCAAACATCCTAAATGCATACCAGTTGCCAAGCCCCCAAATTTTGATCACGTGACCATGGGGATGCTGCAATGGTCTTGTGAAAAATGGTTATAAATCAATTTTTTCAGTGCTGTTTATAACTTTCAATGGTCACTAAATGAAGTTGTAAGTTGAGGACTTCTTGTATGTACATATTGGCTATGAGATGGGTTCCTGCTCAAAAAAGCAGTGGGGACATGAGGGGGAATAGTATAGAAAAAAATATAAAAAAGAAAAAGACATGTTTGGGCATGTCTTCAGAGCTGAAGAAGCTTTTTGGATGAGAAGCGAAACGTCTTCAAAGAAAAACCAGAAAGTCCAGTTGCCTCTTGAAAAAGCACCTTTGGGGCATGCTTGGACAATTTTATCAATCTACTACGCCAGCAGCCTCCAACCTTTTGGGCACCAGGGACCAGTTCTGTGGAGATTTTTCTATGGACAGAGGGAGTATGGTTTCGTGTGTTGCCTGCATCCCGCGGATGGAGCTTCGTTTGTGTGGGCCAGTTTCGGTTGGGGGGCCCTGAATGTTACAATTTAATGATAAATTAAAAGAAATGATTTAACTTTGGTCTTGAAGGAAAAAGGGGGTAAAAGAGAACTGTAAGAGAAAAAAAATGTTAAGTCATAAAACACAGAAGCAGTACAGAGGATGGGTGAACGGGTATTTCTGTATTAAATGTTTATACAAGATTCCTCAGTTTGATTACAGCTCAGTCTTCTAGTATTCTCACTTATCAATTTCTATTTTTTGGAATTTTCTTAAATCCTGCACAAATATTTTAACCCAAACTATAAAAGTAGTTGTATTTTACAATTTTATTATGTCTGGTGCAGCTTTAGGTATGTTTTTTTTTTCTTCAAATTTTCCAACCATTTTGTACATGAACATTTTCAGCATTCACGATTAAGGAGAAACTTATGTTAGCAAAAGGCATCTACCCCCACCCCCCTCCATCTTGGGCTTCATAATCTTTGGAGTAGTTGATCCTGCTCTCAAACAATTGTTGGTGGCAGTGCTTTGCATAGTCTATCATAGAAATCAGCAAGGAAACAAATATGAAACACCAGGTGAAATATTAGTCATAGGCATCAAAACAGAAAATGAAAAATGAAAAAAAGTATTGCGATTTGACAGTTGTGGAAATTTTGTTTCTGATAAACAGGACGATAGAGGATTATCAGAATTAGGTAAAAGTTTCTTCACGCTTCTGGACACTGAACTGTAATATACCTGTAAGATCTGGTACAATACTCAGAGTAATAAAGGAGGAAAGAATCAGTGAGTAGAAAATTCAGTGTCAGACAATTGGAAGAAAGCCATTTTAAGAGCATTAGTAATTAAACTCCTAGTTGATTTAAGGCATGAAGTGATCCTCAGAGATTATGGGTAGAGATGGAAGACACATTGACTTGGGCTACAGAAGCCTTCCACTCTGGCTCTGATAAGATCACTTCAGCAGCAGTGGTCTTATTTTCTCCATCTCAAATAAAGAGCATTCATTTCCAAAGCTTAGCTCTCAGAAGCATCTATTTCTGACTTCCTTTTTAAATTAATGACACCTATTTCTTTGGTCCTTATCTCTTCGGCATAAATATAATTTTAGAAGAAGATGATTCATAAAACTAAGAGAAGGTGATGGTTTCAATTCCCACATAAACTCTCCTTGGTTCTAGGAAACAAAACTAATTCAGTGCAAAATCATTCTGATCCATCCAAGAATGCAGAACAAAAAGAATCCTGAACAACTCCTATTTGGTTCATCACCGTGTGAAAGAGTTGAATGCTAAACAGCCTGAAAGTCCAAGCAACCATATTTCCAAGTTGTCTACTGGGGACTGAAAGGATGTTCATACCCAGGCAAGTCTGCTTTCCGCTTTGAAATACCTCCTACTGAGTTATTATGGGACTACTTTGAAACATGGACTTTCCTGGAAAGAACGAGTCCGATAAAGAGCACCACAAAACCCCCCAGTAACTTCCAGTAAATTCCAGCTTGCAGGATATGGGCACTCAAGGTAGGCAACAACTTGCCAATAAATCTGAAATTATCCTTCTAATCTATAATCTCCAAAATATAGTGATTTCTGGCAGCATCTGTTCTGAGACGCCAATGATAGCCTGTCAGAATCGGCGAGAATCCACATGACGGTTTTTTATCTCAAGCTGTAACTGTTTGATCTGAATATCCCGCTGAATCAGTGCTTCACGGAGCCGCCGAATTTCTTCTTGCTGTCGATAAAACATCTGTAGCAGCTGGAAAGTAAAGACTTCATATGTCATTTGTGCAATCATACATTAAAATCATCTGTCTATCTGAAACTACAGAGTCAAGCGAGAGAATGACTGATGGAAATTTAGACACACATATGAACTATCCCAATGGGGTATGCTTATACAAGAGAGTGCTATTTAAAAAAAATAAAATAAACATATGCAGATCATGCTAAATAATATTGGAAATTATAATAAATATTTCAATTCCTCCACTAATATT